ATCTATAAAAATTTGAAAATCTTAAAAATTAACTATCCAAAAATACGTTACAAGATACACTATTTCCAAAACATAAAATTTCTTTTTTTTCTCATGTCCATGGATCTTGATGTCGAGATGATTAATTTGAAGATATTTGAGTATCAAAACAACCTCTTCTAATAAAATTTTTGAGGTAGGCTCTAATTTGATTGTTTAGAGCCTAGGCTCTATATAAACTTTTTCCACACTAAAATTTAAAATAATTTATTTTTTGTACTAATACTTATACTGTAACCCCACTGGAGGTAACTATTCATTTGCAAAATTAGATTTTAAGCACTTCAACACTTAAGATCTTGTCCAAAACTTGGATGGTCTTTGTTAAGTTTTGGTGCATTATTTTTTTCAAGCTAATAGAGTGTGTATTTGAATATTTCTTCCCTCTTCGAGTTAGTGTCTAGGTAGCAGAATATATATCCACTGAATATGAATATGAGGTTCTAAAAATACCCCGTAGGAACACAAAATGGGCTTTTTGTATTTTAATAGTACATTTAGAAAAAATAGTAGAATTAGAAAATGATTTTGAGTTTTTAAAGGGAAAAGTTTACGAAGCTCTAAACAATCAAATAAAAACCTACCTCACAAATTTCACTAAAAGAGGTTGTTTTGATATATCTTCAAATTGATCATCTCGACATCAAGATGCATGGACATGAGAAAAAAATAGATTTCAAGTTTTGGAAGTAGTATATTTTGTAACGCATTTTTGGACCGTCAATTTTCAAGATTTTCAAGTTTTCATAGGATCTACACTATTTTTGCAGCTTTGAACTTTATAAATAAAGATGAAAATATATTTTAAAGCTATCACAAAGATTTCCAGTATTGAAACCATATTTCTTGATACTATTTGAAGGTAGGCTCTAATTTGATTGTTTAGAGCCTAGGCTCTATGCAAACGGCACCCTTTTTTAAATGCCTAAAAATTTTATAATCTACCCACCCCCCTCGTCTCTCTCTCTATTTTTTTCACATGTGAAGGAAAAGGGCCACAACTGAGAGACCGGTTATGGTGAAAATGTGCCAAAAGTCTCTCTAAAATAATTCTAGCATTGCATGGCATTCATCGAAACTAAGAATGTTTCAACGCTTATACGATGTATCAAGATTCAACCATTTATTTACTGGCCTCGTATCACCATTCAAAACTCAATAAATCATTTGACAGTTTCTAAAATGGGACTCTCTCTCTCTCTCTTCTTCTTTAAGTTATTTTCTCTCTCCTCTCTTTATTACAGGGGAATAGCCCTCTTCCACATTCTCACCCATGATGTTCAACAACTGCTACTACACCAAACAAGGACAACACAAAATCCATGACTTCGATTCTTATTATATGCCTAGTAACAAATAAACAACGCTCTTATAGTTTTATTTTATATGATTGTTTTAGTTTCTATTTTCTATTACTTAATGAGAATATGACAGAGAGAGAGAGAGAGGGGTAGAGAGAGAGAGAAAATGAGAATGAGAGGAGAGACAGAAAATGAGAATGAGACAGAGAGAAGAGAGAGTAGGTGAACTTTGCTCAGATCTTTACATTCTACTCCCCCAAGTCTTTTACGTGGTTTCATTTTCATAACCACTATCTTTACATTGGCTCAAAAAATTTAAAAAAAGAAAAAGAAAAAAAAGGCTGAAAACTCAAATCTTCTATGGTCCAATTCCAAAAGATTAAACCCTATTAAACAGAAAGAAAAGCTTGCAGAAATCTTCACACATATAACGATAAGTACTTAGTTTATCTGCCCACCTCGTCCCGGGTTCACTCCGGGCCTTTTAGGCCTTCTTGAAAGCACTGAAATAACACCGCTTGTCTGCAAAAAAAAAAAAAAAACACAGGGAGAGAGAGATTTTTGTATTAATGTAAAAACTAGAAATGCATACGGGAAATTTAACTTATTTACTATTCTCAAAAAGGAAAAAGCCAAAAAGAAAAAAAATCAACTTATGTTAGCGCTATCAAATTTTTTTTTTTTTTGAGAGCTTGGAAACTGACGTCAGTGGTGGTTTTAGGATCTTTTTCTCCCTCAGCTGAAACTACTTTCTGATTCCCATCTGAATCTGAAGAAGAAGAAAGACCGAAGCAGTTAAGAGCAGCTCTCAGAAAGTATTCAAGGCAGGGACAACTGAGCCATGTGTTGATGGCCATGGATCCATCTTCTTTGCCTTCACCTTCCATTCTCTCACTCTCTCTGATCTTTTCCTTCCAAAAACACAAACCAATTAATCCCACCTTCTCTCACTCACACTCTCTCTCTCTCGCTAGGGTTTCTTGCATCTACAACTGCAACTTCTATCTCTCTCTAGGTGCTTCCCACCTTCTCTTCCTCTGATGCACTAACCATTTCTCTCTCTTTGTGGAGCTTTGAATGCAGTGGGGTTGTATTAAATACAAGTTTGGTATGAGCAAACCAACACTCTGAACCCAAGGCATGCACAACATTTACTAAAAGACAGCCTCCATTGACACCTCCCTCCCTTCCTCTATTGCACCCTAAATATAAAGAGCGCATATATTATGCTCCCTAGGGAGGATACTGCGCATCTCCTCCCTCTCTCAAAATGCCTGCTTAAGAGAATTATCTTACCCTAAAATTTTAGAAAACACATCATAATTACTAAATAATTATTTTGAAAAGAAAAATTGGAATTTTAATCTTTTTTTTTACGCTTAGATTTAGCCTGTTAAAAAAATTGGACCGTCTTTGTTCAATCTTGAGAGAAAATTTCTTTTCTAATACATAGAGAGTTTATTTCAAATTTTTTTGACCGAGATTATTCTATGGGTTGTAAAGATTCTATCTCCATAATTTGCGATGCAAAAAGTACCATGGCATGTATTTACCTGAGGGAGTAAATGGGTAGTATCATCCCTAGGGAGGAGGAAATCTTTTCACATAAGATATATTTACACATTTTTATCGTCAGGGCACGTGTCACTCATTTGTGTCATAGTCTTTGATCAGTTTTGATCTAGATGAACGGTTTCGAGATAGATAAGTTGTTTCCATTAAAAATCTGGACCGTTCATCCAGCATGCTACAACATGTTAAACGATTTCAATATTTGTCCATTTGCTCCCTGAGCAAAAGTTAAGAATATTTTTTGGATCTCAAATTTTGGGATGTAATTTGGAGCTCTGAAACTTGGATCTCAAATTTTGGAAATGTAATTTGGAGCTCTGTAACAAGAAAGAAAATTAATTTGCATTTTCCATAGGTCCAAATAAAGTGATATTGAACAAGAACCATACAACTTTTGAAGGAAACAATCTAGATGTAAAAGAACTCAATATCTAATTTTTCTCTTGATAATAATGATCTAATGATTCCCAAAATGTTGGATAAAAAATCATCCCTAGCATCTATTTTGCTTGAGGGATTTTAGGTACAGTGTGCTCCCACATGAGCACAAAAATATGTACCAAGAAGGCTAGTGCCATCTGATGTGAAATTCATCAAAATCTGTTGTTATGAAAGCTTGAGTGGTTTTCTTCTTGCCTTTGTACATAGTCAATAACACAATTATTGTGATGCCTTCCACTTATAACTCAAATTCTCAAGAAATGAAAACCTAATAACTCTTTAGTGGAAGAGAGAGATCATCCTATAAGGTTAGAGATCTTGCCTAAAAATATTTATGATGTAACCTAATACTTATATTCTACGCCCTTATACCTTTCTAACTTTAATTTGCAAGTGAAAATTTCCAATTGGTTCGGTTCTACTGTAGCAAATAATATTTGAGAAATGAAAGAAAGAGAATAATGGATCAAGCCAGTACTGTGTATAAGCGCTTTTTGATGTTTTTGGTGGTACAATGCGTAATTATCAGAAGCCAGCGTAAATTGACGAACAAAAAGTATGTTTGGTTGAAAACGGTTCAAAATTAATGTATTTTATATTTTTAAACTATTATTTTTATTATTTTTTTTAAAAATCCAGTTCAATAAGTTACACTAATTAAACCAGTTTTAACTGACCCTATTCCCTTACTGATTTTCTATATTACCGCATCATACAACATACATGAGCTTTGTGGTTACAGAGCTTGTAACCAACGCCCTTTTATATACTGAATAGACTCTTAAAGCCGTCTGCTGCATTTTTAGTGCCTGAAGATATGATCACAATGGCAACAAACTCCAAAAATCTCAAAATTCCTGCACAATTTTTTGATTTATTTGCTTTTTGTGGTTCGTTCCAATTTTATGGTACTCCTCACAATATAATTAGGAAATATATACGATAAGATTATGTATTGTGGGTGAGGTAAATATATACAATAAGACTATTTATTGTGGGTGAGGTTGGTACTCATCACATTAATTAGGAAATGTATACAATAAATTTGTCGTGGGTGATGTTTGTACAAGGTTCCCCCTTATATCATACAAGCAAAGTTCACATCTTAAATTTTGTCGGAAGTAGTTTCAATGTCAAAAATTTTCTTATCACTTGAAATCTATGTTTAGCTCAAATTATGAGATTTAAAAATTTAAAAATACTGTAGATCAAGTAGATCTATAAACACTTGAAAATTTTAAAAATAGACTGTCCAAATAACTTGTTACAAGGTTAAGTTCAGTAATTTGTAAGCGGATCACCACCTAGTACTCGGCTCGGGAATGTTGGTGGCAACATTGATCACATCCCCTTATGCTCACACCATGGCGAGCCTCCACAAAACTGATTGCAAGTCACTCACTCAGTTCATACATCATGAGATTGAGACGATCGATTGGAAGGTTTCAGCTTCGAAACACTCTTTTCTACTGGATTTTTAAGGAGCACCTTTTGCGACCTTTTATAAACTTTTTGCATTTACTTTTGGCATCGGGTATTCAAAATCATTATTGACCGTTAAATATTAGATGGGGGAATTGGGGATATATCATTACGTAGGCACAACGTCTAAAATAACATTTATCGAATATTATTATAATTTATTTTGTTTATTTTCACATCCAATAACTAAACGTAACTATGACCTTCTTGTACTAAAACTAAATGATCTTTTAGTCAAATCCGGATTTTGCAGAACACGAAGGATCCTCTCTCAAGCTAAGAGAGATCTTCCCTCAGCCAAAACATTTTTCCTCTCTCTCTAATTTAGGACTTATTATTTTCCTCTCTCTCCCTCCACCTTTTTGTCATTCCTTTTAATCGTCTAAGACACTCGTCTGATTTCGCCCCTTCGATCGATCTTGCATATCGAATCATAGCCGTTAAGATGTTCTCAACGATGTAGAGTCAACCTTTGAGAGGAAAAAATAATATTTTGTGAAAAAAATAATCAGGTTGAGCTTGACTGCCAAAAAAAATGACATACCTAATCAATAAAAATATTAGACTTATAATACCAATTAGAATATATAAAAATTGGAACAAGAAAGAGAAAAAACTAAAAAAATTAAGGATCTAAGTTTTTTAAGGTTTGCATAACTTTTTTCTTTTACAAAACCACTAGAAGAATGTCTCCATCTGTCTTCTCTTGCATTTCTCTCTCAGTTTGATCAATACTTATTAAAAAGTTTTGTTCACAATTAGGACACAGTTTATACGAGTCCAGTAGAAATGGGGTCCCTTTTTTAAATTCCAAGATAGATTTTGGATCTAATTTTTTAAATAAATATTGTGTCTAACAAAGAAATCACTACTATATTAAAAATAATTTTTAAAAACTAATAATAATTTTATGAAAAAATATTTATATTATTTGCTTAATTTTTTTGGAGGGACCACCCATTTGCATCCTTGAGATGGTATATTTTATGCCTCGGGGAGGCAAGTGTTGGAATGTATCCCCCACACACAACAATTTTTTAAAAATTATTGGCACACTAGAGGGTTGTTTTTCATAATATATAACGTACATGGACTTTTGGAGAAGTAGAAATAGAGCCTGGGGTTAATTGGTCAGCGTTTGACAATTTGCAACGCTACATCCCAGTCGCACTTCCTACATGGGGAGAAAAATAAAGCCTAATTTAGCAAAAAATAAAGCCTAGTCTCAATTCCTACATGGTGAGAAAAATAAAGTCTAATTTAACAAAAAATAAAGCCTAGTCTCAATTCCTACCGGGTGACAAAAATAAAGCCTAATTTAGCACTTATTCTAATATAGATTTACGAAAAAGCACTCTTCTTGCGGAGTTTTAAAAAAGAAAAGAAAAAATAGAGTAAAGTCTCACCTCATAATTCATCAAAAATTACAATTCAAGTATTGGAAACCTTTATATGGGTCATCTCGGCTTGAGCATATATTAGTTGTAAAAATAAATTAGGATTTTACGTTCTAAGAATATGTATATTGTAATAAATTATCTAAATCGTTTATTTCACCCTAAAATTAATTGATCATGGATCCACAAGTACTTTACCATTTTTGAGTTTCAAAATTTTATCGACGTTGAAAATTGATTTAGATTTACGTTGCCAAAGATGCTTTCCAAACGAGGATATGAAATGAGGCTTTATTTTATTTTCCTAAAGCATTAGCCCTATAGAGACAAAAAGAATAGCAGCATTTGGTATGGAGCGCATGTGAATTAGATTTTTCATGAAAGGTTTAAAAACCAAGGGATAATGCATGCATGCTACTCCACCATCCAACCTCTATCGATGGAAGGGAGCTCCGAACCGCTTCCAAGAAAAGCGGCCACAAAGAGCGGGCAGCCGCACACGCAAAACCCCACCCAATCACACAACCTCACACGTTTACTCGCGTCTCTCTCTCTCTAAACCCCGTCAACTCGCGCCTCCGTGCAAGCCCAACGTGCACACCATAACCCTCTCTCTCTCTCTCTCTGACTCCAAACTCTCAAAGTCATAATCATAATGCTCCTCTCCTCTCTCCAACCGGTCTC